TTCTCTCCCTTTGCTGCAAATGGGGAATGGCAAAACAGAAAATTTAATAACTGACGGTTCATGAACGTTATAAAAGTTACAAGATTAGATGGTTAATTTGCTACAAAGAGGCCATATGACGACGGTGTCCATTGAAGTCATTATAGGACAGCTTAGCGTGTCACCAAACTGGAAAAACTATAGGTTCGGCCGAGAAGCAGTGTGTGGTAATTAACTTTTGGTGAATAGGAAGGATAAGTATTTGAGAAATAATGGTTATCATGATAAAGGGTTTACTCAGTTTGGTTTACTCAGTTAGTATGCTGTCACATGAGACATTTTGCAAAATATAATCGAAATCATGATTGGCGGTAATATTACCTATCGTTTAAGTCAAATACTGTTACGTAAACTCTCATATCCTACGTATATAGCCTTCAAACGTACCTGAATAGTATGTATCCGCTCATGGCTAGAACAAAGCACACACACACTCCCGAACACACAATGAACAGCAGACAACTTGCAGTCATAAACAGAACCACGGAGATTTTATGGTATCAGTATTCTAAGTTGACTTCAATTTTTTAACACGACATTTTTGCCTCGTAGATATGGTGAAGATGAAACAGAAAATTACCTAAAGCTTGTTGTTTGTTCCATGTAAGGTGCACCAACAAATGAGGAGCAGACATTTCCTGAACATTATGTAGACAATCACGCTATCGTTAAGAGAGAAACGAGATTGACCGTTTTGGGTGAAAAATGAGGATTAAAGTGCAAACCCATCTATGTGTAATGACCTAGACACACAATCGGAAATAAAATCTGACATTTATCGTGAACTAGAGAAAAGGTTCAAAACTCTACCACGATGCAATATATATTAGCCAATCATGGTCCATTTTTCTGGATACGACAAAAAATGGCCAACCGTTCATCGCGATACCATCTCGACGATAAGCAGAACCAATGATGGGGGGACTTTGCGGCAATTTATAAGATATCCCCGATACCTTATCTGATCCTATTCGCCTGAAGATGGTCTAGGGGCGAGTGCTATTCCGCTTTTCACAATGGACTTTACCATGTACTGTTTACCCTAGACGACCGGTGAATACCATAATGCACTTTTCTAAAAGTTAACTCTTGGATTTAAGTATTTATTGATTACTAACGTTATGTCTTATCGCATATGCACAATTGCATTATCGTCTTATATAACCACTCAATGACATAATGTCTAATAGAACCCTCTACCTGGCGTAATGTCAAATAGAATTTTCCTCTGTCTTGAGGGTGTGACAGCAAAATCTTCTACCCTAGGGTTGATGTATTTTGGGTTTGGGTCTGAGGGTTTGGATATTTCTTTGTTACACACTCAAGGCAGGGGATGATTATTTTTCCTCATCCTATTATTTCTTTCACAACTCCACCGATAGTAGTCTACCATGCGTGTAAAGAAAACACATGTGGTTTGAATATCATCATTGACTTTTGATGACATCACAATTAATGGTGACACATTTTACTTACATCACAATTGAACACGTGCTAATCGGCAAGGGGATATCTCTCACTAGGGGTGACAAGCTTTTCTCCCACCCTTCACAGGCGTGTCTCCCGTTTTATCCGGGAAAGATCAGTTTGTCACCCCCTAGGGTGTGAGAAATAATTCCGAATGATTACTGGCATGACGTTTTATATAACATCATTAACAGTTCTGTTCAATACGTATATATATCCGTTCCTAACTTGTTGATTGCATTGAAATGACGTTATATTCCACGCCTAAACACATTGATCTTGCGATGTAACCATTTGGTGTAAGATTAAATGACCGAAATGCATGTATTCCAGTTCACGTGTTCGTTAAGTGACAATTTCCTTTGAAGATTGAATTTCAACCGTTTTATTGACACATAGTACGTTGTTGTTTTCGGGCTTTCAAAAGACAGGGACATTATCTTCTGCTCAAGGACGATTTGGAACAGCTCTTTAGGTAGTATAGCTGTTAAATCACACACAAAAGTGCACGATATTCATTGGGGATTTTCAAATCGTATTTGACATCTGACGGCAAAAGCTATTTGAACTTCAATACCCATGTCACATGATTTAATTGCGATAGCAAAGATAAATTTGTATTAAAGGTGGGTAAAACATATATGGCATGTTCTCGTGGCTATTTATGTATAACCAATTATCGGCTCCTAGGGTAAAACACCGTTTAATTGTACAATAGGAAGGCTCTTTTGATAACAGTATCATAATAACACCCACACAACGAAATCATGTCTGATAAAATAATAAAATGTGATGTACTGCCTTACAAAACCCTTCCAATTTATTGTGATCACGTCATACTGAGCCTGCGCAAGCTTCAAGCGTCATATACATGTAAATATAACCCACCCCTTGGTGTCATCTCCTAAACGGGATCTTTTCTCTTCTTTTAAACAACTTATTCCATATCTTTTGCTACATTATATATCCCCTTTTATACAGCAAAACATGTATTATAATTACCTCACAATCTACTATTCTAGTATACTACAGAATAGGTACCTTACACAAAACAATTTCACTTCAAGTATAAAGCAATGTGTATATTTCACTATACCATGAAAAAGACACCTCTTCCTTACCAGACAATGTCCCTCCGTGTACCATGTTTATCACAGGGAGAAAGCACTGTCGAATCTGTCTATGATTACCCACTATGCGTAACGCTAAAAAAACATACAGATCTTATTAAGGACTGAGGCGACCAATTATTCATTTATGGAAATAGAAAGAAACCTAACGTGATCGTTCAATATGAAATAAGGACATAATGGAATACGCGGAAACAGGCATCATGCTAATCGTTAGCATCAATCACGTATGTACATCACAACAGTACAGTAAAAAGCTCCACCATCTCCCAATATCTCAGACCTTGTCACGGACATACACAGTTCAATAGCGACCGTACACTAAAGATAGTGCATTATATCTACTCTTACTTACATAACGGATACTTAATAAAAGGAAGTTTTTTTTTCTTACCTCAGGGCAATAATAGCATCGATACCTTAGACAGTTACGTTTTCTGATACCTTTTTAAAATTGTTATATGAATAAGATGTCAATAAATAATAGAGACATGCACGGGAAGTTTGACCGTGTAATTGAAAAGTATTGTAACGTGATAACACAGCTGACTCGGTCGCATAACACGCCAATTTTTGAATTTTGTTTTAATAAAAATAAATAGATAGGTTTCTGATGATGAGGCGGAAAATAACGAGTAGATAAAGAAAGAAAGATGTCCAAGATGTTGCCTTGAGGAAGACAGATCAATGTTGGTATCTGTTCACAAAATGGCCACATGTATGAGTCGTCGATTACAATAATGCAATGAGATACAGCAAGTAGGTGTTGTTTGATCGTCCCGGAATCTTATAAGTCACATAACTATTATCCGTTATCGCAAAAAACCCACCCTCAGTTGTATTTCCCAGCCTACGTTTTTTACATTTGAAGTGGCTGAATATCTTCGATATCGCATATATGATAACATTGAATTGACAAATTGTCATGACGTCAGATTTACGTATACAAGTTTGGACGTCTTTTACAGCGACATCTGATCACACGTGGGTGTCATTATCAATTAGCTTGGACCAGGTGATAGCCCGGAATTCATTTATCTTAATTGAGTAACAGAGATGATTTCTAGGAGAATCCCCATTACAATATGTCGCCCTTTGGGAGAACTGATGGAGGCATTACGTGGATGTCACAGTGGAGGCTAGCGTTGCCAGGCCAGTCTTAATGATGAACCTGTCGCAGCGATTTTAGTTCGTGTATATTGAACGTCAAAGAAAATTCATCATAGTTCGGAATATTTTTTTTCCGTATTAGTCTTCGGAGAACTAGAAAAAATCTGTTTTTGTGTCTAACCCACCATTCATATAAGCTATACAGGTATGGCATTGTAGATATGTCATTTTTTAATACAATCCTTACAAATGATTTGTAGGGCAAAGAAGAGCGAAGCTTAAGCTTTCAATAATAAAACTCTCATCAAACCTTAACATAATGACATTCAAATTGGGAAATTAAGCTAGAAAACTATGTCAGGATTCAATATAGGAAATGGAAATTGGAGGGAAAGTGTAGCCTTGGTTTTAATATGGGCTTGTAAGGAGTAATAAGTCAGGTAATCCCCCTTGTCCACAGGGGGATTCGTCGCGCGCGATGTCCGGGGGTTGGTAGTGCACCTCGGGGTACTTTGTAATGGATATATTGGTGTGCTCCAATCACTGTCATTGATTTTATAAGTAATGTGTGTTTTATCTCTGGGCATTGTATTCCAGTGATCCTTTGATTCCCAATGTGGCATTAATTCCACCTTGCGCACGAAGCCATTGGAGCGCTATCAAGTCACGCATCGTCTTTGTACTGTTGGTCTATTGATGGTCAAACGCTAGCTGAACAACAACCATTCTGAAGGATGCAATAATCAGTAACGACTTAATATACGTCAGGCATGCTTAGACTTGTAGGACTTGACGTATAACGCCCGACAATCAGCTTATATCTAACATTGTTAAATATATGTCACCATCACTATGGTTTGTATATATGTATATTAGTAAAAAATGGAAAATGATATACAACAGCTTCAACATAAACGGACAAAATGAAACTCAATACAGAAAGATAATACCAGGAAAATATGAAGCATTGAAACACAGGAGAATACAACGTGTACCCACATACAGAACACGAGATGAAACCAAGAGAAATAACATCTCGATAATGACACTACCCTGTGCTGATAAACTTGCCTCTGTTCAAATACAGCAATTACTCTAAATGTCATACAGTATTGATGGCCAATCAACCAGGAGAGGTTATAAAGGTCCAAATGGCAAAACAATTAAGAGAACGACAAAGTGAAAATTGCTTATCAGTGCTTATTTTTTCACTAGTACAGATTTTAGCTCTACAACAAAGATAGCATCACTCACCTTTTACAGGCTCGGAGACACAGACAAATATTTCCTTACATAGTTGTGCCAGGTAAATTTATAATCCATAATGTCGTGATCGTGTACATGCATGTAAAAGTACGTTATGTATTTCCAAGATAACTGTGATATATTATGTATCAACCTTTTAATCAGCTCTGGCCGTGACTCCTGTTGTTGTAACGATTCCACTATAATCGCACACCCACGCCGAGCGTTAAGGCTCACCAGCGATCCAGTGTCTTTGTCTGGTGACACTACGTACAACACAACGACACTACCCAGTCACCGCAAAATATATTCAATATAGCAAAAATTCACATCCAAGATACCGCCACACTTTTCACCTTAGCAACGTCTTCCATTGGCGATGCTAATACACTGACAGGTAGACTATATAGCCAGTGTGTATAACACACCTGGTCCAGCAGTAGCGGTGAACGGTTTATCAGGCTGGCGCTCACACTCTCTCTGATTTTATTGTGACGTCTGAGGCAAGAGACAGCACAGGTGGTACTGCGAGTAAATATTGTGATAGGAAAATAACACGTGTAATACTGCATGTAAATGCCATGAATAGTGAAACCACAATTGATACTATACGCAAATACTGCGATAGGAATCTATTGCGGTAGAAAACAAAACAGCTGATAGCGTATGCAAATGCATTTATTGTTATAGGGAACATCACAGTTGTCTTCGCGAGAATATGATGTAACATGAAACAAAAAAGAAGGCACTACATGTAAATTGTGAGATAGGAAACAACACATGCAGGGCTTTTAGAAGACTAGAGTGTGCGTTTGACTCAAAAAATGAGGTTTAACGCTTAGGATAAAAATACTACGTTTATTTGACATGTGTTTTTACTTTTGCGATTTCAGGGAAAATGCCATTTGACCTATGAGATTGCTTAATGTCATGGGTAACCTAAATAACTGACATGAAATACCGGTGTAAACACTGTTGTGAAAAACTACACGGGTGGAGCAGTATGTACATGTTGGGATAGGAAATAACAAAACATATGCTGCATGTTTCATCTGTAAAAGGAAATATATACATGGTTTTTACAGATGATTGTACCACGGAAAGACCACTCTGCCGAGGCATCTCAACAAAATGGAGAAGATAGACTGACAGCTAACCCAATCAAATTATTCTGACAATGGAGGTGTCTTCGGCAAACCGTCGAAAGAAAATGATCGGAAGGAGAGAAAAGAACAGATACATTTTTCAATTGTGGCAATTGGGCTAACAATTTAGTTTTTAGCAGAAGAAACAGAGAAAAAAAATCGATTATGCAGGGATTCTACATTATTCGCCTCATACGATGGTGTATAATTCTGGGGATTCCACAGGTATACTGTAAGAGAAAGGCATTAATTGTTTACAACGGTAGGACGATGATAAAGTATCATTTATGTGCAAGTGTTTACTTGCTGAACTTCTCAAAACACAACAAATATCTATTTTACTTGTGGTGTATCTTTCAATAAACTGTCGAGTTTACTATAAAATAATTCAAACACAGGCAAAACGGTGGGTTTCTAATATCACATCAGGTATGTTGCAGACGCTGCATTATGTACTAGAACTACATCGGAAGACATTTCGCGGAAGAATGCAACATTTGTCTGCTGAAACACGATATCAAAGACGTGGAAATTTAAACATGCATTTAATCGCATGTTTGTGGGTTGAATTCTTACAACCCTCGGTTTAACATCTTCCCTTGTGTAGTATAGTGGTGTAAAGTGAGCGATTCCAAATTGAATGTGTTGGTAATGTATGGGCAAAAGAGATGCATTACTCGCGCTAGGAACGTTACATCATTATCGATGATATGTCTGATATGAAAGAAAAGAGGGTCGATTAAATGGCCCAGTGTACAATGACTAACAACCGGAACCAACATGTGTGAAGAACGATTTGCTTCGTGATCAATTTTTTCATTGGCCCATTATTTACTCTGGATAAGAGGGATTCAGAACCCCGTCTGTAAAGCTAGTAGCGCTCAGCGCTGCCCTCATCTTCATATGTCAATACACATACAACAGATATATCTAATGCAGGACTGGTGTTTTCTAGAAACACTGCTTTGTCATTGAAAAGCTGTATCATTCATTTCCCTTCAAAAAGGTAGTACATAAAAACTAAAAATATATAAATTGCATTTGAACAACGAATCGCATACGCTAGATATGTTTGATCTGGACCACTGGTTCCGTCATCGAAATTTCATTGTTTACAATTTAACTTACCATCAAAAATATCATTGTTGGTGCATGTAACATTAAAAAAGAGAAAAGTACTACTATCTGAATAGGAAATCAGTTTTGTGGTATATGTGCATTATTGAAGGACACATATTACAGGGATATAAATAGGCTAGCAAGGCTTGACAGGGTTGGCACATGTGCTACAGGAAAAGTGTAGTATGTACAGTTGTGGGACCGCACAACGCACCAAAAATCGCGTGCGCACACCGTGCATACATCGTTCACACACCGTCCGCACATCGTCCACACATGGTGCGCACAACTGTGCGATTTAGTAATCGTTCGCCCCGTTGTGCGCTTCTCTCCGCACAACTGTGCGATTTGGTATCATTTGTAGATCAAAATTACGGAATGACAAAAATACGGAAGGCTTTTATGCGATAATGTACACTGTGTATATATCTGTAATTTCCCATCACAATAATCAAGATTATACAATTTCACAATGAGTGTTACACAGTATTACAGCAACCGTTAGGCTGTCAAGAATGGGTTTGGCTCCAAGGTAACAGAACAGGTAAATAACAATTTTATGAGTGTCCGGATTTTACCTGGCCAGTGCCTGACACACAGAGCTGATATGCGATACCGTTTGACCATAATGAAAAGTATTTATTATTTGCATTCGTTTGCCTATAGCCCCCCTTCACCTGGATTTTCACACCCCCGGCCTTACCCGACGAGTTAATGCCCCAGGCGGGGAGAAAACTACGGTCCAGGTACATGTACAAAGTGGTTATGTTTACCAGTATACGAGACTGAGTTGTAATTTTACATGAGTCGATTAAGTTTGTTTAAAAACACAGAAAACATAATTCCTAAATATAAGAATATATAGACAGAAAGATAAGTTTATAGATGTTGCTAGAATATAGAAACATACGTAAATATTAAGTTTATATGCTTAAACACGAACCGTATAAATTGTTGAGGTATTCCTCAATTTACACCAACCACGATTGTTATCGCACATCGTCCGTCCATCGTGCGCACATATGTGCGCAAGCAATGATCGTTCAGCTTTTTATCGTTCGCCCATCGTGCACACACCGTTCACCCACCGTGCACACCTCGTGCGCACACCGCACATCGTGTAACGTTATTCGATCCCACAACTGTAGGAGAAGCTCGTTTCTCTTTTATTAGGAGGGTTCATGTTGTCATTTCTTTATTTTCTCTCTCTCCTCACACAGTGTCTGATATCCCCTCTTCCTGTATCACCTAATAAATCCCTCTCCCACTTCCTGTATCACCTAATAAATCCCTCTCCCAATGCAGCGTCTTATAAAAACCGTCTCTTTTCTAAGTGTCTTATAAAGTAAGCCCTTTCACATAGCTTCCGCCGCTTAATAAACATGCCTCCTATGCAGCGTCTTAAAAACCTTTCTAAAACATTATCTCCCCCAATATGAAGCGTCTAAAAAAAACCTCTACTTTTGCAACTTCTGAAAAAGCACCCCCCCCCCTCCCGCCTTAATATGCAGCGTCTAAACAGTCCCCGCCCTCTGCAGCGTCTCAAACAGCACTTTCCCTCCGCAGCGTTTAAAACAGCCCTCTCCCTTCGCAACGTCACTTCATCTGCTTACAATGACACGAACTTCAATCTAAACTTCGAAACAGTTTAATCAAGCGCACGCTATCTATGGTTTGAGAATGTCCAAACAGTTGAAGACAGCGAACGTTTTATGGTATTCGAATTACGGGACAGGTAAAGCCAGGGTACCTTTTTACCGCCTTTGTTTACTTAGTGTAATTAAGCCCTAACTACCTCGTCCGTTAATAAATTTGCTGGATATCTCAACATAAAAATCAGTTATTTCACAAGGCATGTTATCGGCTGAGTAAAATCTTGTGTATCCTCACCTGTCTGACTACCGACCACGCGACTGTTGGATTATTTGCTATAACGGTAAGTGGAAAAAACAACGTTGTTATCATTATCTCTAGAATAAATTAAGACACGTCAAACTGACATGTTCATGGCGAATACGATCGCACTGTTCAGGGAAAGAAATGGGTTGAAGAAATTTCAAATTTTCTGAGTTGCTAGACGTCACAATGGGACAAAAATGACGAAATGTCAGGAAAATGAAAACTTTCTATGCCGCGATGTGGACACTACCGATAGATGTATTTACAATTGTTAATTAAGCAACAACATAAGTCTTCAGAAAGGAGAAAGAAATACATTTTTTTAAACGTAGCAATTAAAATAACCCTATTTGATATTTCTTTGGTCAAATTGTCAAACCTTACCTCATTAGCAATGAGTTTTATAATCTCCTACTTATAAGGTCATAAATATGAGTGTATATTTTTCGTTTTTATACTATTTTGATCACTCCTGCAGGTCCGTGGAATGAATATGTTATCGAAAAAAGCGACAAATATTGTGTGCCTTCTTCATTTATTGAAAAAACAGAATTTATCTGCTATCCCATTGTGACATTTGGAATCTATGACCCCCACCCCTCTTCCCCCACTTCCCCAAAAATACAATAAAACGACTCAGTATATCCCGTCAACTCTTACATAATAATATCTGCAGACGACACACGTCATTATCTTGCATTGCGTATGTTCCAACTGTGGTTTTACCGCGTAAATAACATCTGTTATCAACCGCTTATATTTAACCACACAATAGGAACAAGCAGCCTCAATCTCGCTACTTATTCAAATCTATAATAGCATTCCCTGATATTTTATAAGCCATTATAACACATGATATATTAAAAAAGAATCCGTAACAATTACCTTGCCTCTAACTGTACGTTAATTCAAAAATAAAAACTTGAAGATGTATCTAGCTGCAGGTAAGTCAGTATTCGAAAGAAAACAATTTGTTTTATCAACAAATTCTTCAAAACTTCAAACACTACCGAGAACCAGAAATGAGTCAATGACAAAAACATTGTCAATCGTATGGAAATCTAATAGTAAGAACTAAGTTCGCTTATCAGAAACTTTAAAAGCAATATTACGATTGTGTCTGGCGTTGAAATTGGAAAATATCATGAAAGAAGCACTATGAAAAATAAACTAGTATTTATTGCAAAATTGCTCGAAATTGTGTACATCAAATTTACTTTCCATGCAAGTCATAATTTCATTCATTAAATGCATGAAAATTTCTCGCAATCACATTGGTCGGATCCT